GCGCTTTAATCTCCGGCTTCTCCTTCCCACGACCGGGACGGGCAGGGCTTTCCCCCCTCCACCATTCCTTCCACCCATCGTTCAGTCTCAGCGCAGGGTTTGACAAAGTGGGTTTTTCCTAATCTTTAAGCTGAGCAGGCTCACAAGGTGGTTGCAAGCTACAAACCTTCCAAGTTTGACAAAAAAATCCTCCTCTGGACTGGGCGTTTCAAGAGAGAAGAAGAGATTCCTCCAAGGATCCCGTAAGTGCGCTGCTTTTCTCCGCGGGGAGCATGGGGCTGAAGGGAGGGCGGTGGCGTGATCCCGATCTAAAGCTTTTCCACAGAGTTTGAAGCAGTCAGTTGTTCAACACTGCAAACTTGGAAACAAAGTAGAGGGCAAAAGGATTTCCTGCCGTGGTTAGAGGTTAAGATGAAAAAATGTTCTTCGCTGGGGTCCCCAGAGCCTGGGATTAAGAACAGGATCCATCTGAGTAGCTAGCCTTGGTTACATTTATGTACTGGCTTGTTTATTTTGTTTATTCCTAATGTGCAGTCAGAGGAGGGTGTTGTTGGTAAACAATATTTTCTGTTTGTAGCTCCTGCAAACAGTTCTAAGGGAGCTGACCATCACTGCATGATCAGATCCAACAAATGATGATTTGTTATGGAATTTGATGAAAAATAGAGAAGGTGGTTATGAGAGAAACATCCTCCATCCAGGAAAACTGAGTACTTGACAGAGCCTTGGCTTCCCATTCTTGTTGACCCACCGGAGCAGATAATCTTTGAAGGTCCCTTCCCACCCAAATCGACTGATTCGGTGGTTTTCTGACTCGCTGAAAGTTAGCATCCCCCAAGGGAGCCAGTCACTGAACACACAAAACCCCTCTAGTGCCAACTGCTGCCTTTTTCTTAGCACGGTCGATAGCGTGTTAGACATCTCTCTCCAGGACACTGCTTTTTATCACCATGGTATGTCCCCACCTTGGGTGGTACGCTGAGCGTAAGCAGGATGCAGAACTGTGCCAGGCAACAGGTACCTCCTCTGCCAGCTCCTGCTGGTTCCTGGTGGTCTCACTGGTGTTTCCTGAGCTGGACAGTGGCTTTCCATTGACCCACCGCTCTTGCACTGTGTTAGTCCCATCGTCTTCCCCTGGAGAAAGGCTCAGCCAGGTCTCAAGAGCTTTGAAAGCCATTCGAGTTGTTGTGAGAAGTTTATGGAGATACAGGGGTTCGCCAGTCCACACGTTCACAAGATGCTCATTTCCCTGCGGTAGTTGCCCTGCGAAGTGCCTGTCACCACTTTGTGCTTCCTGGGTGAAGAAAAGTATTCTATAAAAATATAAAAAGAGAAGTTAGTTGTGAGACACCAAAGCTGAACTGTGTCACTGCTTTAACTATTCAAAAAATAAAATAATTGGAAGATATGGTTCCCTGTGAACGCGATCTAGCTGCTGAAGATCATTTGTACTAAGGGTCAGATCTGCAGTTCCTTAGCCAAGGTTGTTGTGGTTTGGTTTTTTTTAAAACAGTTGTTACTGACTTCAGCAGAGGTTTGCCCAGAGTCTTGATTAAGGATTGCCTAGCGAAAGCCCTAATGCACAATTAGGGAAGAACATAATAAGGTCTGTTTTCCTTAAAGCACAGGCAGAAAGCAGGGGAAAGTGACAATCCGCTTCAGAAGCTTCCATTAGTGCGGTGTGACATATGATTAGGCTAATAAGCCAGGCTAATAACATTTACGGTCTTGCTTTTGTTGCTACGAATGGATTAGCAGATTAATGATTTTATGTGCTAGTCTGATGCGCGGTTTGTTTTAAAGCTGATGCGTGTTTACCATCGTACAAAACAAAAGCAGTTGCTTAGAACTGCCGGCGTTGTCTGCAAGAAATGTGGCCTCTACAACGTGGGCGGGCGGGCGCTGGCAGGGAAGGGGGTCGTAGCACGGCACAGCCGCTGGTCGGACTTGCCCTCTTCTGGTGCATTAAAGCCTTCGGCAGAAGCGCAGCAGCCCTCGGTCGTGGTGCATGCTGCCACGGGCAGAACTTCCACTATGAAGACTCCAGCTCTGCCCCATCCCACCACTCATCCTCTTTCAAGTAAAGCTAAAGGTGTTTTGGGGGAAAAGAGATCCTTGCAAGATCTTTACTCACAATGCAAAACCAATTCTTTATGTATAAAATCAATTCTGTATGTATAAAACCGTAACTCTGTTATGTATATTTATATTCTGCATCTTACGAATGTGTCTCTTTATAAAAAGCATTCCCATGTGATTTATGAAAGGAAAATAGTGCTGCACAGCCAGCATTGTAATGAACATCTTAAAGTCTGTACTCCCAGAAGAAGACTGAGCTGGAAGTTTTGAGACAATTTGAGCAGTAGGGAGATCTCCCGTCCCGCTGGTTCTCGGGGGCGGGCGGCCTGCTCCCAAGGGAGGAGGGTGGAAACGGGAGCCGTACCAGCGCCGCTCTCGCAGCAACTGCTGCCAAACGGTGAGGCCCAAGTTTTCTTTTGCCTTTGATGAGGGGCAAAAATCATCAGATAGATTGTTCTTGTTGAGGCGTGTGTTCCTGTCAGAGTGGGAAGGCTGACATGGGCTTTAAATAAAGGTGCTGCTTTTCTAAAGAACTAAAAACTCATAACTCGTAGCCGCACAAACTCTTGTTTTTGTCACCTGGCCAAGTATGTAAGGTCCCTAGCCTACCATACACAGTTAGATATGACAGTAACTCCTTTCCAAAGTTAATTTTGAGTAAAAGGAACTTGCTTTCACCACGTCTGGTTCCACACGTATACTTCTCCATCTGTTTAAAATAGATAAACTCCCTTAATTTTCACTATGTTTAAATAGAGCTTAAGGTATGATTAATAGAGCTCTTAAGTAGAGCTTAAGGTATGATTAATAGCACTCTTGAGTAGAGCTTAAGGTATGATTAATAGCACTCTTAAGGAGAGCTTAAGGTATGATTTCTGGTGTATTTACCCCAAGTATTTAAATGCAAATATTTATTGCATGAGCAATTTTTCAGCTTAAAAAAAAAAAAATCAGCTTAAATCCATTAGATGTTGCTTAGGGCTGGAAAATGCAAAGTTCTTGGCTGGTACGTAACCAACCATAGCAAGCTGAAGATGCTTGTTTTAGAAGCCAGTTCTGTTTTTCAGTGGTGATGTTACATCTGCGATGCTTTGAAGAAGAGATCCTTCGCAGTCTTGTAACAACTCAATTCAGTAACTTCAATTGCAGGCCGGAGATGCTGGACAGGGCAAGGAACAAAGCTCGAGTTAAAGCTTGTTACATCATGATTGGACTCTCCGTTGTCGCCTGTTTTGCGGTGATCGCCTCAGCCAAGAAGGTGAGTAGGGTGCTAGCTAGTTACCGCAGAGTGTACTTAAAGGTGCTGGAATCCCGGGAAAAGTGGGCAACCCTCAACGAACGGCAGCAGCTTAGGCCTACCCTGGTTTCAGCCAACCTGCGTTCCCCTCAGCCCTGACGCCCAAGCTGTCTCTGGTCCTTCCCGGGGCAGGCAGCTTTCCCCGAGGTGCATCGTTACTCGAGGTGCATGTGCTACTCTTAAGGAAGTGTTTTACTTCTGCAGGCTGCTGCCCGTCACGAGTCCTTAACGAGCTGGAACCTGGCAAAGAAGGCCAAGTGGCGGAAAGAGGCCGCCCTTGCAGCTGAGTCGAAGACAAAGTAACTTAGTAGGAAAAGCCAAATGTTCTTGGAGGAGCAAAATTAACTGTGGCCCAGCAATTAGCGAATTTCACCAGTAGATGGAAAACTGTAGTGTTGCACACCCTAGAGCCAACAAGGGTAGTTACAGGCCCACAAGAAGAAACAGAGGGGCTCTGGTTAGACATACTCAACGTACTTGTTGCAAATTATTAAAAGTAGAACGTTTTGCTCATGACTAAAAGCAGTAATTAATTTCAAAGGAGATGAGGTAGTTTCCTAAGCATGTCAGGTATGGCAGCAGCCAAGATTCCACTGTCTTAAAAAACTTTCTTTTGGACTTATCGTGAGCTCTTCCACAGATAAGAGTTCCTTACAGAAAAACGAGCTGTGTTTTCCAATGAAAGGTTAAATGCAGCAAAGACCAAGCAGTAGTGAAGGTACGAAAACTGCAAAGATAAAGAGACTTAACGCAAATCACTCTTGGAATTCTAAATAAAGAATGAACTGTAATCAGCCAGAATATTAGGAATCTTACACACCAAGAGGAGAAGGTTTGGAGAAGCGAGGGGAGGGGAAATGGCCTGGTAATCCCACTAATTCTCAAGTCCTTACAAACTTCAGGGGAATTCCCAAAGAAGTGGTCAGTTCTGCAGGCAGAGACAGGACCATGGTTATCGTATGAGCGTCTGTTTGGTCAGGTATTTACAAACCATGTTTAAAACCAAAACGTTTTCTGTCAGGTGACAGTGCCTAGTTTTACACTGCACAAGTCAGCCAGTTTGAACTCATTTGCCTCAATGCTGTATGCAAAACGGCATTTGCATTTTCCAGTTTAAGAAGCCACACTTATTGAAACACTAAATAAATACAATAAACATCTGTAAAATAGGTTTTATTGGTTTCTGTATGGTATTTGGAGATTTAACATTCCATAATATTGCATACTACTCATATGTGTTCTGTTACAGTAATGGGCCTTTGGCCTGGATTTAAAGATGCACTATTACTATCTGAAGTCAGTACAGGTATTTTAGTTTCCACACATTGTATGACGATATTGTGCCGTAAGTAACCAGAATTTCTCATTCCAGATTTCAGTGAACTCTTGAGGTCACAGTTAAACTTCACATATCAATTGGCAGACCTATTACAAAAATCCTCAGTTGTACAATTTAATAAATTTAAACAAACTGAGAATTAATTGTGGAGGAAAGACAATAGTGCATCTTTTTTTTTTTTTTTTTTTAAGACAGACCCGACAATAAATATTTTCCAGTTGCAAACTTGTTCTACAGCTAACTTATTTCTGTGCCAACATTATTACTATTTTCTGATTGCTGCTAGCAACAGTGTTTAAAGCGAATACTAGGAAATTAAAAAGCTGTATGAACCAGTCCTCAGACAAAAGTGCAACGATGAAAAAATTAGATACGATTCAGTGTATCAAGAGTAGGGAACTAAAAAAAAAATATCTTAGGCTTTGCATAGTTGCATAGATTAGCTAGTTAGTATTCACATTTAAGCAGAACAAATGGTACCCTTTCAATTAAAACCAAACCCACAAAAACTAAACCCCTGTATTTTTAAACAGACTTCATACTGATGGGGCACTTCAGATTCTATACAAAATAGCAAACTTGAAGAGATTTTCTTCTCTCGGTTGCCTTTTTTTTTCCCTCCACACTGGTTTCATCTGTTTAAGCAACACCATCATATTCACGCCCCTACCTGCAAATGACTACACCAGAGCTGACCTTAACTCATCATCTCTGGTTTTACATTGTTCATTTATGTGCTTTTAACAAAGTGTGATGTAAACCCAGTGATAAAATAGGAGAGGCCATCCTGCATGTCCATCCTTGAAAGAATAATTTTCATTACTATTTTTTAACAATTTTAGGGTAAACCAAATGTTGAGTTTAAATAATGATTTTCAGTAGCCAAAGTCCATCAATCTTAGTTCCCTTTTAAACCATTACATTTAAATGTATCAGAGGCATGAAATAGTTTATCTAAATGCGTAAAGTGCAGTCACTAACTGTTCACACACATAGAATAATATATTCACAAAACTGAAGACATTCTTTCAAAACAAATATAATACTTCAAATGTCCCCTCTTCTCTTCATTTTCAAGTCTTTTAATCAAGATTTTTATAGTTCAGATTTGGTTTAAATTAGAGAGGCTTATAAATGCAGTTTTTACAGGGTTCTCCAAATAAAAAGCAGGCACAGCTGGTTATGTTATCAAAACAAGGTTGTTCGAAACAATGGAATACCCTGTTACCTGAATCATTTTCTTACACTAGAAGAACACTGAAATTCAGCATTTACTGGTAATCCCGGTAGATTTCCATGATTGTTACCCTGTACTTTGAACAGATATGGGGGGGGAAAGAAGGAAGGTCAGTATATGAAAACCTAAAACTATGAGAGTAAAAAGGGCACAAATACAATCATCTAACATTATATGAAAATTTGGCAGCTGTACTCAAGATTATCATACTATTCAAAACTGTTGTATGCTGTACAAATCTAGGTTTAAAGTGTCATTTGCTAAAATATCTCATTATTCAGAGTTCATAAAGTAACAGCACTCCCTATATACACTTCTATCTTCCACTAAAAAGACTTCAAAAAGAGGTTTCTTCCCTCCCAGTTACATCTTAGTCAAAACTGACTGCTGATCTTAGAAAATCCACTTCAAGTCCCACATTCCATTACCATATAGTATATATTGCTGTAACATCAAAGTGAAACATCTAAGAATATTAACTTGCATGTAAAAAAAATGCTAAATATAAAATGGTACTGTAAATGATACCACCTTTAACCTGTATTTTTCAGTGCATTAAAATATTGTTTAGTGACAAGCACAGTGCCATGGGGTAAGTAATTTGAAGTTGAAATTGCAGCTTTTTATGAAGCACGAAGTGCTTTCATAAGTCAACGATTTCACTTAACCCAGGAGTTTGATGTTAATACATTAATTACAGGTAGTAAGAAATAACCATACTTCAGAGGTAACCCAAAGTATTAATTTCTCCAGATGAGATATACTACTGATACGCCAGAAAAACTACTTATATGCAAGTCAAAGCAGAGCATACATTTTTCTGTATTCAAAATTGTTAGATACTAGAATTCTATTTCTTTTAGTGTTTAACAGCAAACACTATCTTGTAGAGCCTAAATATTTAGATGACACTAACTTCTAGTTAGTTTTGGTGTCCACCTACTTAATGCTATTTACAGTACAACAAACTTTTTCTTCAACTGGAAAGGAGTGATTCACTATTCATTCTTCACTGTAGTATTTCTATTGTCTTACCAAAAGAAAACCGAGTTAGTTAACTTAAAGGACAATTCAAGTGGCAGTAGCGTATTTGGTCAAATAAAATAACACCTACTGTCTAAACTTTTAAGAAGCTATTGTACTAGAAAGGCAAACATTGCAATGTTTCTCAAACTAAAGTGGTGTTACCACATTTTGACAGGAGACAGCTGTAAACCATCTGTGTGGCGATTTCTGCAAATCATCCCTGTCATTCATCATCGCAGCATTCTTGTGGTAACTACAGCAACTGCTTCCACTGCAAAGTACTGTATTTGTGGCTGACTTCTAATGCCATTTAGCAGCTTTAAGTACAGAGCCAACATCAAACAACCAGCAAACTCTCTGCTGATTCCAATTTGAAAACCTCTGAAATAGTTCTCTTCCCACATAATTCAGAAAAAGCTTTTTCATATATTCAATATTACATTAGGTAATTAGCATTATATATGTATATCTATTATGTCTTTAAATACATTTTATAAATAAATTCCAACAGTGTGTTGTAAAGTAATGCATAAAAGTTTCACAATTTAAATAAATATTTTTCACATTCCAATTCAGCTTGTTATAAGCTCATCTTTATTTCATGCCTTAGTTCTGAAGCACTGTTTTTGCTTCAATACAAGAGGTAGATTTGATAGAGACTGGGCAAGTCAAGCCTACTGCCAAAAATGCAACTGTCAGTAACTGTATTGCTGATATGCAGCTTGAGACTACATGAAAAATTCAGAACCACTACCTAATATCCTACCAAGTCTTAGCTTAACAGTTCGTGTTAAATCACATTTAATGTTTTACTTTAGACATGATTACTCACAGTTGTTTTCTGTACATGAGAGAATGAAAAACACAAATACAAAACAAAGAACAGTTGTATCTAACACAATATATAAAAGTGCATGAGCTGCTTCATCTATTTCTGCAAAACATATTCAATTTTTCCTCTAACTTTGGCCATAAAGAAAAGACCTCTGGAGGAAAAAAAAAACCAAAAAAAACCCCACACAACCAAAACCAAAACCCTACAAGTGTTTACATTTTATGCTTCTTTTCATTTCAATAGTTCACAGCTGAAAGCCCTCCATTGGAGCCTCCTGCTGTTGAAACACAAACTGCTGCTGACTCTCATCCACCTGAGGTGCAATACTGGAGTCCTCTTCTTCGACACCAAAGTAATGTTCTATGAGTTCAAAAGCCTTTTGGTAGATCTCTTGGTTTTCATGCCTCTGAAGAAATTCAATTTTATCAAGTCCTAAATTCAAAACAAAACATTTTCAAAAGCTAGTTGCTTAAATGAATGATTAATTAAAATGCGATCCCAAATCATCTCAATTCATTTGACATCACTGATTCTTATTTTCCTAACCCATGTATTTCTAGTCTTCCATTTTCTGCTGTCCAAACCGATTTTTAAAGCATGCTAAAAGAATATGAATTAAACTAAGGAGGATGCTGTAGTACCTACAAAGAAATTGATTCTGTATAGACTTAGAATAGCATAAAACTCTTTGCTATAGCCATTTCCAATATCCCTATTTCTTTTCCTTTACTCTTTCAGTCTTTCCCAACTCTAAATTTTACCCCTTATTATGGAGTAATCACCGGGCAGAGTCTGGTATCTTTTTTCAAATTTAATTTTAAGATTTGAAGACACTATCTTTCCAAAGGCTTAGTATTTGCAAGCTAGAGGACATAACCTCTGCTGTGCTGGCAGAATTAAGTGCTTGGCGGTCAGTTAGGTTGATTCAAAACTCCTTTTTAGCTATTTAAGATAATTCAGTTTTCACTTAAGTTGGATTAGGAAGAGCTCTTATGAACCCTTCTGGTGACTATAGAGGCCAAAGCAATGAGGGTGATAACATTAACTGTTTCCCCGACTTGAACTTACACTCTACAGCTTCAGCAGCCTACATGTAGCTGGTAAAGGAATTCAAATTTAAAGGCTGCTTTATGGAAAAGCTGGTACCATCTAATCAGATATAATATGGTCAACTAGAATTGTTATTAGCAGTATCTGAAACGCAAATGTCTGCCAATTCTGTTTTGTCAGAGCTTCAAAACCATAACCCTCCATAAATAATGCTATATTCATTGTAAGCCAG